CATACCAAACGGCATCACTGTAAACTGGAAAAGGCCAAATGGGGTGATGAAGGCGGATTTCTCGCGTGTTTCCTTTGCCAGAGGAACTTGCCAGTAGCCTTTGTAAGATCAAATCTACACAAATATTTTGCACTTCCAATTTTCTCAAATATTTCACTCATGCGTGGAATGGGATAAGGATCCGTGAGAGTTATTTCGTTCAATTTTCTGTAATCAACACATATTCTAATTGTCCCATCAGGCTTGTTGACAAGGACAATTGGTGAGGCCCACGGACTTTTGGATGGTGTAATAAGTCCTTGTTCTAACATTTCATTAAAATTTCACTTCCTGTTTCTTAGTTTCCCGGGTATCCTGTAAGGTCTCTGAGAAATTTGGGATTCTCAGACGTTGTTCTGATTGTATGTGAGATAACATCACATTTTCCCCGGTTTGATGTGAAAATTCTTGAAAATTTCTGACAAACATCCCTTAAACTCTGTCTCTGCACTTGTGTCAGCCCATGTCCAAAGACAAGATCTGAAATGGTTTCTGTGGTGTCGTTAGGAAATTGCTGTTAAATTAATTTCATTTTCTGTTGCTGCCAGTAATGTAGCCCGGTTATAAGGACGAAGTAAATTGATATGGTAAGTAACAATCCACGTCGTCCTCCAACATTGATTTTATAGTTAACATCATTTACCTTGTTAACCACACAAACGGTCCTTTCCACTAAGCGGACATCTTGCCGGGTTCGGTCGGGAGAAAACGATACTTTATCACCAGGACGCAAATCCTTTTGGATGCTGAGCGATCATACCAGCTTTGATTTTCGACTGCATCATTTCCAAGTTGTTTTGCACGAGTTGTGTCACATCAGCCAGTTTGTTTCGGATGTTGACGACATGATCTATCCTATGTTTTTATTTCCTCCTCACCAGTCAAGAAGCTCTTTAAAACACTAAGAGGACCATGTACTGGCCATGTAAACAGGTAAATGGTGAAAAACCAGTCCCCCATGTGGGACTTCTCTGTATGCAAAAAGTACATATTGAAGTAGTACATCCCAATCTTCGCCATTCTCCATACACAACTTTTTCAACATTGATTTTAACGTTCCATTAAATCTTTCAACTTTGCCATTTGCCTGCGGGTGATAAGGTGTTGTAGTTATTCCCTTGATTTTGATTTTCTCATATAAATCTTTCAGGAGCGCACTCGTGAAATTTGATCCTTGGTCAGTTAGAATGGTTTTAGGAATTTCCAATCGACTAAATAATGTAATGAGTGTGTCGGCTATTCGTTCAGCTTCACAACTTGGTAAAGCAAAAGCTTCTGGGTATCTGGACCACTTCATCAATGACAGTCAGAATGTATTTGTTACCTTCGTTGTCCTATTGGTTCGGCCAACGATGTCAATTGCGATCTTTGAAAACGGATCAGTTATGATCAGTATGACCCATGGAGCTCTTTCCGCACTTCTTTTTGCCACTTTTTGACAGGTGTCACATTCTGCGCAGTCATGCGACACATCTTGGAACAATCCAGGCCAATAAAATGACGCAAGAATACATTATTTTTGGTCTTCTCAGTTCCTAAATATCCAGCTATTGGCTGATCATGTGCCAGCTTCATCACTGCTTTTCTTAGCGATACTTGAAGTACCACTTGTGTTCCCGACAGATTCTTTTTCTTGGAAGTCCATTTTCGTTTCAATATGTCATTCTCCCAGTAAAACGCTTTATGTTCTGTCTCAGTTTGTGATACATTTTTGAATGCTTTATCCCTACAATTTTTGAGTGTTGGGTCTTGTTTCTGAAGATTCGATAGTTTATTCCATTCACCACGCTCAACTTTTCCAATGAAATTTCTGGTAGATCAAGGTTCACTTCACCAGCATCATCGTTAGTTACCACGACGTTTAAGTCCCTTGGTACGACATCACATTTATTCATGCGATTTTTGGCACTTAATTCATTTTGTTCTTGTTCTTTTGCTTTGGCTCTCGTAACCACAGCTGCAACTTTGTTCCTCTCCAGAACATCTATTCCCAATAAACCATCTGCAACCAGATCAGGTACTAAACCTACCTGACCATGTCCTAAACATTTGTGTTTCCAGGTTAACCACTGCTAACTTAGCCTCGAATGGCTGTCCAATAGCTGTAACCAAGGAAGTAGTTTGTCCATGTAGAACACATTTTGGATCAACAAGATCCTCCCGCGAATAGCGTCATAGATGCTCCAGTGTCCTTGACCATTGACACTTCCACATCATCCACTTTCCCCGGAACATAATGTAAACACCATAATGCTCCTTTCACGAAACACGACGCTAGATTACCTTTCTTTGGGCATTTGTCTGCATAATGTCCAAAGTTCCCACAGCTAAATATTTCACTTTTTCCAAACTTTTCTGTTTTCCGGAGTTCCCCTGTTCCTGGCTCTTCTTCTCACCTAACACTTTAGTATTTTGAAGTTTTCTGTCCTCGGCTGATTTTGTTGGTAGAATGTAATCCTCAGCAGCTTCAACTAACTCAATACTTCCCTTATTCCGTCTAATCCACTGGGCTTGTTGAGGAGATAACGCCTTTAAGAAATAGTCTTCTCGTAACTTTTGTACGGGATCTTTCTCATCAATGAAACGACTCAAATACAGATCTATTCTCGACATTAATCCTCTGTAAGTTTCTCCTGGTCTACGTTTAATTTCCTCCAGGAACTGAAAGTAGTCTGCCGGGCGCTTGCCGAATCGATTCAAAAGAGCCTTATACAGATCTCTGTATCCCGAAGTCACTTGCTGCGACACTTCTCGAGCTTCTCCGGTTAAAAGTGACCTAAGCTGTAAAGTCTTTGAGTTCTCAGTCCAACCTGCATGCTCAGCTACCGCATCAAATTCAGAGATAGCATAAAATGTCATCCTTTTCCTGATTAAATGGTTGAAGTTTAATTTTTGGCATTCCTGTCGAATGTGCTCCTGGTGTTGAATTGGCCTTCTCTAGCTGAACACGTAATTCCAAAATTTCTTTTTCATGTTCAAATTCAAGTGTTTTTAAACGCAATTCATGTTCCTGTTTTTGTTTAGAAAGTTGTAATTCCAATTCTAAGTCCTGTTTCCTAGGCATTTTATTTCCACTTGTTAAATCCAAATATATATAAAATTTCAAACAATATTTCACATTTAATTAGGATCCTTTACCGCTGCCACCACTTAAAATGTTACACCGAAACTTTCTGTTTTTAAATAAAAACGCCCAAAGTTTCCAACAAAGTTTATTTTGTATTCCCGTGTAACACTTTACACACAGGACCCTACTGAGTAACTAATTGAACACACAAATTCTACGCTAAATATTAAGAACTGCCCAACCTACAGACTGCCAATCACTGCTAAATTAACCCAATAATTGTGAACACTATGAATTCTGCATTTTCTCATGGCCAGCACTTCGGACATTCAATCCCCCTGAGACTCGGGTGATAAAAGTCAGCAATGCTGATACAAGAGCTAAATTTCACAGCCAAATCTTAATGAGCGGTCAAGCCCTTATCACATAAACAGATCACTGCAGTATAGCTCTAGAGCAATTACTACAAATCAACAAGATTAAGATAACATAAATCAAGCATTAATTATACAAACAATCTCACACAAAATTTCACTTTAACACAAAGAGGCCTTGAAATTCAATGAAACTGTCTTTTTAAATTTCTATTTATAAGGTAAAATGTTAACCTGATGGGTTTTTTTTATTATCTAGGAATGTGAAATAAGAGTGACAGTAACTGATGCCTTCGGGAAAAGGACAATCAATTAGAAATCTTCCATGTGTTGTAATTCAGATTTATGTAACATAGGACTTGGTAAGTAGTTTTAACCAGCTTTTATTTAATCTCTAAAGCTTTTTAAAAAATATTGGAATCATATTTTGATTAAACTTTGTCCTTTATTATACAATTTGACACCAAACCCTTGTCTCTAATAAACACAAGTGTTGATATCTTTGTATCTTTCATTTATTTTTCAATAACACGTTCGTTGTTAAAGAGTAGAACGTGCTTATGTAATGAATCAACATATACGAGTGATAAAGGTATTATATAATGGTTATGCAAAATGATGAAATATTTGAACTTTATGACTTGATAATTTCCAATTTTAGAGTTAGAAATTTTTTAAATCATATTATCAGAAATGATTAATTAGTAATGAAAAACAGTCTTTATCCATGATGTTTTCCATAGTAATTTCTAAGTTCTCATGTATCTTGCTCTTAACAATAGAGAAGACCTGCTTTAGAACTCAACTGTATCTTCTGCCAACATTGACGAGTTGAAAAATTATGTCTTTGTACTGGAAGTTCCAAAAATATGAAATACAAGTACCATTTCATGATTATGTAAAACACTGCTTATTCCCACAATTCAATGACTTGAGAATCAAATAAGTTCACTTTGAAAAAAATAAGTAGTCCTCTTTAAATGACGTCCTATTGCGAATGAGCAGGTCTAGACTTTTCACAAAATGACGGCAGTGCATGTGGTAGTAATATTGTAGATTTTCAATGGAAGTATATACATATAAGATATGTAAAGGACATTTTTATATTAATATCAAGGAATTAATGATACCAATACATTAAATTACAACTTATACCATTTTCTTAAAAAAACTAAGAATTTTAAATTTTCAGAAAATGGAATGCTTTTAAAGACTTATTTATCTATTTTGGGTATCGAATATATACAGGTTATTTTGTCTCATCGGAACTCAAATGCTTTAAAAGAATTTTGCCGGATAAAAACTTCCCAGAATAGACAGCACTCTAAACAAATAAATTTGCTGAAGAGGAAATTAAGAACATCCAGATTAAAAAGTTTGACTGTATTTAAACCTTTGTTTATGCATCTAATTAATTAACAATTTTATTCCTTCCAGCTTGTCCTGCAGGCAAATATGGCAGAACCTGTATGTCTAACTGTGGACATTGTATAAATAGAACTTGTGATGGTATGAGTGGCGCATGTGTAAATGGGTAACTTTAGGATGGACAGGAAGCAACTGTACCCAACGTAAGACTTCTAAACTAAATTCTATTCTCAGAGAGACTTTTTTCAATTGCATTAATGTATCATATGCTTATTTTATATATTATAACAATATAACAAAAGAGATGAATATGACAAACTTTAAGCTTACATGTGATACACTGTATTAAATGTCAAAATGAAAAGTATGCCTCCTTTTGTAAGCAATGTCATATTGCTATAATTAAGGTCTTCCCGTCTTCACGGAAGACCTTATAGTGATTCTATTGTTTCTTAAAATTATTATTAAGGTCTTCCGTGTTCACGGAAGACCTTTTAGTGATTCTACTGTTTCTTATTATTATTAAGGTCTTCCGTCTTCACGGAAGACCTTATAGTGATTCTATTGTTTCTTATTATTATTATTCTTATTTTTTTGACTTTCTAATTTTGTGCATGCGATTTCTCAAAGACTACTGGGTGAAATTACATGAAATTTTCAGGACAGAGGTGTTGTTACATGAATTTATTATATCCGAGAGAAAATTTAGAACCCACTTCCGGTGCCAAGTTACGGACAATTTTCTGAAATTAAAATGACATTTTGTCCACGATTAAACTAAAAACGGTAAAAGATATCAACATGAAACTTTCAGGGATTATAGATCGTGATATATACTATCCAGGACGCGACTCTTTGTTCGTCGTTGGTACTTCTTGTTATCGTTAGAAGAAGACGAATTTAAAAAATCGTTTTTTCTAACTTTTTGGTTTTTCAATATTTTTTATTTATTTTTGGAATGGTAATAGAGACCCTTTGATTGATGATTACTATATAAATTGTTTGAATATTGGTTAGTCTGAACTCTAAATAGTAACATTTGAAAATCTGAAGCGGGTCCAAGATGGCGTCTGCCTCTGTCAACTCCGCCATTTCGCAAGTAGGGGTTTATGGAGGCAGCTCAGCGTTTGATTAAACCATTCTGACATAAGGATACATGAAATGTAAAAAAAAAACTACTTGGACTTTCACGTAGTAGTATTGTAATTCAGTGTCAATCTTAAAACTTAATTTCCGTTTCACTGCTTTAGTTTAACTGGGCTAGATACGATATGTAATGTGTACAATGTGTTAAATATACCTTCTTAACGTCGAAATAAAATAAAGGCGATAAGAACGTTTTATTTATTTAATTTCATTGAAGTTATCACACCTATTTAATAGATCAGTCCAAAGAAAAGGCGCGAATATTTATTCGTGGCGTTTGGCGCGAAATTATCAATAGTGGCCCGCCTTTTATAATTCTTAGACAGGTGTACTGTTGCAAATGTATACACAAGTATATTTAGAGCAGTTCTCCCAAAAGCTTAATGTTTGAGCGTTAATAGATCACGTAGTAATTACGTTACAATTCTGTGTCAAAACTAAAAATTATTCCAGGGTCTTCTCAAACGTCTTCTGTAACTGGTTTTGGTTGGTTCTCAAAGTAGAAAAAGAAAAGACTAAATGTGCAAATGAGAGATACCTATTATCATTTGTTTTGCAAGACGGAAAAACAGATCTTAAATCATAGTTATAAGTTATAGTTTTTCAAGATACAATATTGATGCATGTATATAGTAAGAATAAAACGTATAACCACTGTTTTTCCCATGCACACTTGTGTGATATTAAACGAATAGAAAGACAAAAATAAGAAAACCATTTTAATAAGATCCTCTAATGGAGTTTATATTAACATTCTTATATTCAAAGATCTGAATCAAGTTATTGAACATAAATGGTATCTGATTCCTTGACTGGCGTAGAGCGAGGCATGTTTTTCGGCGAAACATTTCAACCTTTTTATGAAAATGTAACTAATCGGCATAGTTCACTTCTGAGACGGGAAATAAAAAAAATTAAATTATAGTCATTTCACTGCTTTTGTGTTACTTTTCTACAGAATGTGTACAATGTTTTAAATATATTTTCTAAACCTCGAAATGTAGGCTATGAGAACGTTCTTTTTTCTTAATTTCATTCAAGCTATCACACCTATTTAATCAGTCTAAAGAAAAGGCGCGAAGATTTAACGTGGCGTTGGGCGCGAAATTATAAATAATGGCCCGTCTTTTATAATTCTTAGACAGGTGTACTGTAGCAAAAGTATACGCAAGTACATTTAGAGCAGTACTCCCAATAGCGTAATGGTTAGCGCGTTGGGGATAAAAGGGGAAAAAAGCGGATTGGAATTTCACGCTGGCGACCTGGATTCAATTTGTGACCAAAATTTTAAATCACTTCTCAGCTCGACTTTACGAGTTTTTTTTTCCAGAATCGGACGGAAGACCTCTCGTTGCTCGCAACGAGATCGCTTCTAGTTATTATTAAGGTCTTCCGTCTTCACAGAAGACCTTATAGTGATTCTATTGTTTCTTATCATTAAGGTCTTCCGTCTTCACGGAAGACCTTATAGTGATTCTATTGTTTCTTATTATTATTATTATTAAGTCTTTCGTTCACAACGGAAGACTTATAGTGTTTGTATTGTTTGTATTTTTATTATTATTATTATTATTATTATTATTAATATTCCTCCCAAATTTTGTGAGCGCGATTACTCATGTAAGTAGGTTGATATATGAAGTTTTTATAAAATTCCGTTTTTTTTTAAAAATTCACTTCCCGTCCGAAGTTATGGCCGATTTTGGAATTTTAAAATGGAATTTTGTCCGGCAGTTTTCTCAGAAACGGTTTGAGGCAAAGATATGAAATTTACAGGAGTATTAGATCATGATTTTCTATTTTTTTTTGAAGTTGTTTTCGTGTGTTTCCAGTACTTCCTGTCCGAACCGGAAGTGAATTTGTTTTTGGTCAATTTTTGATTTTTTTTTTGTTTTTAGATATTTTTTCAAGATATTCTTATGTAAAACAGACATTTTTCTACAAATACTAAATATATAATTTGTTTTTAAATCAGATTCCGCATTTTGTATATTTTCGGTACCGAAATTTTCTCTATTTACGTAGTATGTTTAAGGTGGGCAAAGAAAGATAACTCTGACCTGTGAATGAGAATAGAACTTTCGAGATAAAGGCGGAAATAGTATTGATGACGTTAGAGACATATATACGCTCTCCAGATCAACATATTTACACATTCAATATTCTCTCTTTTGCATGTTACTTAATTCACTATATGCATATTAGTTTAAATTTGGCTGTGTAGTGTTAGTCTGTATATTGAAAGTTTTTGATTTACAAATTTATATCTAAAAAAAAAATCCGTTCTGTGTCAACTAAGCACTTTGAAGAAAATAATATTGTACGCAGTATACATTACAGCGATGTATATACAAATTATTCTACAAAAATACTAAACATATTATTTATTCAATCGGATTCTGCATTTTGGAGATTTAAGGTTCCGTCAATAAATTCATTTTCTCTATTTACGTAGTGACAATGTGCAAAGATAGATAACCACACTTTTCACATAAAAAAAAATGATTAGACTTTGAGTTTCCATATCCACTTCTGCATGAAAGATTACGTTTGTTACTGCTTTCAGTATATGCATAATTTAAAGTTGTCAACGTAGTGTAAATCTGTAATGTCTGTTATGATTATATTTAAAAAAAATATTCTTAATTCATTCTCTAATTTGAATGCAAAATTATCCCGGAATCCGAATTTTATTTTCGATTCTAAAATATTATATGTACTCGAAAGGGAACTGAGAGATAGAAGAGTAGGTGTAAAGTCTTTAGAGATAAATTGATATCTGCAACTTAACAGAAAGAAAATCAATCTATAGATTGGATTTGGTTTTAACACGTATATTTCATTGATTAAAAGTCTTATGGTGTTATTTATTATACATGATCTATACTTTTATATACCCGAGAAGTTATTAAAGATGAGTAAAAGCGATTCTTGGATTTTTGTGAAATACTAGTACTCAAAGGGTTAACATTATGTGAAAGTTATGCGTTTCTGTGTGAAATAATGCTACGCTAAAAACATGATACAAAAACATCTGCAAAGGTCTGTTGATATGTTAGATAAAGTATACGAATGAACACAAATTTATGCAATGCTATATAATCATATGTATGTACATGCAACCTTAAGTATTTTCCTTTTAATTCATAAAACATAAAATTACCGAGTATGTTATTCTTTTGAAGCCCCCCCCCCCCTCTTGTTTTTATTGGGGGACCTTATTGCAACTATAGGCCTTTGAATTATAAATTCGTTATACAATTAAATCTGGAACATTTGGTTATAACTACCATTAACATGTATACAGAATTCATATTCTATAATAGTAGATTTTTCATTACGCAAGATACTGAAATTTACCTGTCTGAGAGAGAGAGAGAGAGAGAGAGAGATATCCCTTTTAATCCTGATTATCCTATCCATTTACATAGACAAAAAATCAGTTCTATATCAGTTGTACCCATTCTTTATTAAATATCTTCTGATTTCATAGACCGTCATAGTCACTCTCTGTATATTTTTTCTGCTTAACTCTTTACAACTTACAGAATTGCTACGCAACATACATTGAATCCTCGCGTCATAGAAATATTACTTTACCATTTCCCCGCAAGCACTTTATTGCGGGGTACAAATTTCTCTAAAGTTTAGCGTAAATAATATTCTGAAATAATATTTAAATTAGAAAATAACTTTTATTTTATGAGGATCAAGCAAGTATAAAATAGTTGGAATTTGGCTATAAATTGAAGATTAAATGAACTTTTTAAAGTGCGTGAAAATGCGTGATTGCGGGGAAAAGGTAAATGCGTGATTTTGCGTTAGAAATAGGAAATGGTATATGCGTTAAAATGCGTGACTGCGGGGAAGGGTGTTAATTAAGAAGTATTACACTAAGTGCACATGTATTGACCTGTCAATCAAAATCGCCGGACGCTGTATGCATTGCAATAAAGTTGTTCGAAATGATTTTTAAGTATGATCTTTAAGAAAATCTGATGCAACAAATTTGAGAAATGAAAAATAAAATAAAAACATGGCTAGAGCATCATATATC